GGGGCTGAGTGAGCCCACATTTTCCATGAGCCTTTCGGTTGATTCACTGTGGTGACATCCTGAACCATGTGCTGGGAACAGTCCAATCTCCAGAAAGAAAAACAGCTCTGGGGATGTGTCGGGAAACCAGGATAAACATTTCCCTTCTTGAGAACTTGGGGACAGGCTGGCTTTTGTGACTTGAGGCACCTGCTCAAAAATGCCTCCCCCACATTGTCAGAAACCACCTCCAGCTGAGTCACTCCCCCGGGGACCTCCCAGAGTGACACCCCAAGGAGCCCTCCTTACCATCTCCCCAAAATCGATAAATCAGATTACTGAGTCAGCTGGAAGGGGGGAAAGCAGGGAGGCAGGTCCCCAGAGCAGCTCCGTTTTGAGATCCTGGGGGACGGTGAGGACAGGGGAGTGTAATTCGCGACAATTCAGGAGCTGGCAAGGTGTCCTGGGAAGGCAGGCCCTGGGTGGGCATTTTGAAGGTGGAGGTCAGGGCTCTGAGATGGCTTTTAGTGGGAGGAGACGTGGGGACCAAACTTTCTTCTTGCTTTTGGGCCTTTTTGGTTGGTCTGGAGGGAAAAGAAAGAGGCCAGGGAGAAGGGCAGCGAGCGCCTCCGTGACCCCGCTTCCTGGTGGACCCCGCTTCCTGCCAACGGGGCATTTTTTGTTAGACATGAATCCTAGTCGAGGGCTGGCAGCCCGGCTCTCTTCAGGGAGAGGGTGTCCCTGGGGAAAGTGATTTACCCGAGCATCTCTGGTCAAGCAATTCTTTCCCCTTACATGAGACAGGAGGGGAGAGTCTCGGCAGAGTCCCCTGCCCACCCGAGTCTGGCCAGCGGGACGCGGCCTGGGCCTCCCTAGGACAGACCCCAGGCAGCCTTGCGCACGCACACACACACACACACACACACACATGCACACGCACACGCACCAGGTCCCCGACACAAGCTTGTCTGATCGGCTTTTTGTCACTTCTCCTTCCCTAGAGGACTCCAGGCCCCGAGCGAGCGTGGGACACTCTGATCGCTCTAAGAAACTGCGTTCGGAAAAGAAGAATTTCAGGAAGATCTTGTGTCTCGAACATTACGCCGCTTGTTTAGATATTGTAGGAGCGGCTTGAATAAGCCCGCGCGTGCTCCCACTTCGGGTGGTGACTTCCACGCGTTGAGAAAGGAGGAGAAAGATTCTCTCTTCGTTTCACTCATGGGGAAACCGAGGCACTGATAAGGTTATAAAACTGGTCAGCTCTGGCCTGTCCGTCAGGACCCACGAGGCCAGACAAGGTGCCAGCCCTCAAGAACCTGCACATAAGCAGGACGTGGGGTCAGGAGACCAGGGCTTGAGTCCTGCCTCTGCCATGTGGCCTCAGACAAATCCTGGCACCTCTCCGTTTCCTCATTAGTGAAATGTGGGAAATAACCTGTATTTCACAAGGTCGGGGTGTGGATATGATGAAACAGCAGTGAGGAAGGCCTTCAGGGGTTCTTGCCACAGCTTATTCCCCCGATTCTAACAACGATCACATTCACAGGTTTATAAAGCTCTTCCCAAGTGCATTATCTCACTGAACTCTCTCAACGCAGTAAGAAACCAGAATTTTGATTTTATAGATGAGGCAAACTGAGAAAATTCCCCAGGGTCACTCAGTTTTAAAGCGCTAGAACAGAACCAAAACTGAGATCATTTTCTTTAAAAGCTGTATGGCTGTAGTATATTTACCCTTCTTTGCCTCAAGGCAAAATATTACATTCTTGTTTTAGATATTTTAGAAAATACAGAAAACCACACACAAAAAAGGAAATATTATTCACAGTAAGCCAGTTACCTTGAGGTGACCATCATGCACATTCTGACAAAGTCCAGAGTGCCCCCAGGGCTTAGAAAACCACGTGATGCAGCGGGGCAGGAATGTTCTGGAGCCAGGGAGGGCAGGTTTCTGAGATGAAGTGGTTCGGGAGAATGCAGGAAAAAAGAGAAGGCGTGGGAACAGGAGGAAGGAGACGCGGGTGTGCAGGAGGAAGGAGACGCGGGTGTGCAGGGCCAAGGCTCGGAGCGGGTCCTGGAGACAGACCACGGGTCTGGTGCACCCAGGCCCACCTGCTCACCACACACCACGCCCACTGCGTGTCTGTTAGCAGGGAGTCCCCAAGTCCCCTGAGGCATGAGGAGCAAGGGGGCTGCTGGTCCCCTCTTCCCAGGTGATAAGGTTGAGACACCCCCAAGACTCTCTGGGGAGCCCTACAACCTCACGGTGAACCGCTGACCTTCTGCTGGGGGCCCGGTGGCCCTGGGGACATCACCTGCCCTTCTTCAGCCAGCTGGCTCCTCGGTAGACAGAGCGGCAGGGATGGCTTCAGCTAAGGCCCTGCCTCCGGGCCTGGGAAGCGTGAGGTCTGGCACTGCTCCGTCCCCAGGACAGATCGGGCCATCTGAGCAGCCCACCAGCAGCTCTGGGTGACTTCTTAATATGCAGGGCTGGGTGCCAGCCCGCCAGGCCCTCCTCACCAGTGCCTGGGTCCAGACCGCCCGGGGCGAGGACCCCATCTAGTTATTAATAAACGTATTACCAACAGGTGCACCTTGCCTTTATAGGGCACTGTTGAATTTACAGAGCCTTTTACACATTGTCTCATTCTATCCTCGGCAAGTCTTTGTAGGGGTGTCATGGCGATTCTCCAGAGAGAGAAAACTAAACTAAGAGAGACTGAGCGAACTGTCTGAAGGTCGCACAGCAAGTCGTAAAAACTTTCACGTATTTTTGTCTGTCGCTTTGTGTTGCTCCAAAAAAGGATTCGGCTAGCTCACAAGACCTGTGATTAAAAAATAAGTTTACGGCATCATACAAATGCAGCCAAAGGACACATGACAGAAAGTCAAACGCATTCAGAGAGACCATGCAACACACGTGCCTGGCCGGCCAGACACAGCCGAGTAGGGCGCGTTTGACCGGAAGCATCTAGCAGCTAACGTGAGGCGGGAGCCGTGGTCGCAGAATCGAACGCCGCTCAGCCTCAGTTTCTTTGTCTGCAAAGGCGGGGGGCGGGGAGGGATCATTATAAAGCCTAGTTCATAAATTTGTTGTGACAAAGGAGATGCTTCTAAAAAGATTTATAAAAACGAGTAACTGAGATAACATTCGTAAAGCACTGTCACACGCTACCTAATCAGGGGAACGTTGGGTGACACGTGTCACGAACATGATTTTTGCCTCTGACGACCATTCAGAAAACTGAGCTGGTTTGGCATGTGGGTAAGAGAGCGGCCCTGGGGTCTGGCTGTGTGGGTTCGAGCCGCATCCCCCTCCTCGTCGGCCAGGTGGGCTGGCTGCTAGCTCCATGACCATCCCCGGGCTTCCTCTGTAAAGTGTGGGTACGAATCACCCGTTCTCCGTAAACAGCACAGCGAGTGCTCCATGACGGGCCCTCCTTGGCTACGAGTAGCTTCTTGGAGTTCTTCCTTGTAACCGTCCTTTCTGCGGAGGAGGCAGGCAGCCCCTGGGATCCAGGGCTCTCGACTTCCCGCTGCCACCCATGGGTCTTGTCTGTTTGTATGTGCTCGGTCGCCTTAACCCTGGCCTTCAACTAGTAATTACTCAATTTATACATGTGGAATTGAGGCTGGAAAGAGAGAGAGAGGAATCCTAAAATGGTCTGGGAGCTGGAGAACTCCATTTCGCATCAAAGCCTGGGTTTTCAAAGCTGGGTTTTCTGATCTGTAAAACAAGAAGGTTCTTTGTAATTCCTAAGATATCTTTGTAACATCGGTGAACTCTTACATGGAGTATCACAGAGCGGTCTTTACTCTCAAACTGCCAACTGCACAAGGTGCTCAGTTAGAAATTCTTTAAAGAGATCTAGTTCCCACCCTAGCTCTAAGAAGGAGGTGGGCTAGAACAGAGTTGCTGGGTGTAGATGGCAGTGAATTCGGGTGTACGGGAGCCACCCCAGGTCCTGATCTATGACTCTATCGCCCCACCCAGTGGGGAGTGGCCTGGGTCTGTCTGGGAACGAGCTGTTTCCACTCCTGTTTGGGGCCCACCCCCTTGGGTAAGGTGGGCCCCTGCTGACACAGATAGGAGACGGCTCTGTCTGGTGTGACAGGAGAGGCAGATGGGGGTGGGGGAGAGGGAGAGGTGAGACAGGAAACCCGAGCTGCTGTGTGAGGCAAGGACAAGATGGGCAGCAACCCTGGGGATGGATGGCGGCCTCCGGGGCTGAGGCCGAGCTGGGCCGGGGGCGTGGCCGTGGGGTGTGGCCTTGCCACGATGCCAACCGAGCTCTTCCTGGGTTCTCTTCCAGGCTCATTTAGTGCCAAGAGGCAGTGACTCTGAGGGAGGTAAGGAAGGACCTGGAGGCACTTCACTGTGGCGCTCAGGCACCCACTAGCTGTGACTCTGGTGCGGGGCAGGCGGGAGCCTCGGCTCCGGCTCCGTGGGCCCCTCTCCGCCCCACCCCCAAGGCTGCCTCCCGGCCCCAGTCTGGCCACAGTGCACTTGGTGCCTGGAAGAGAGGAAATAACCATTAGTGTCATCTGCTCACCAATGGGAGACATTAGCTGACTCTGGCAGAACATGCGGCCTATAATTTTTGGAAGAGTTACAATAATGGAGCTAATTTGGTGCTTCGTCTTCGCGCTCCTGGGTGAGCAGAGCGGGAAGGGAGGCCTGGGGCCGGTTCAGC